CACTCAACGTAATCCCAACACTTGGGTACGCGACAGTGAAAAGTTTGATCGACGTAAAAAGGTAAGCCGTAACTAGTTTAACGCGGAGCCTAAGCGTATCAACAATGGCATGCCGAAGTGACGCTCCGCCGAATACCAGCGAAACCAAGGAGCCCGGAGCTAGGAAGAAAAGAACAGTAAAACCTACGCCAAAGGCTCTACAAAACGCCATAGATAGTAAACGTAAAGAATTAAGTAAATCACGTAAAGAGCTCCTGAGGGTTATGCAATCGGTAGAGCAAAGTGCTAGTCATGAAAGTGAAATCGGAACCGCAGCGCGCGACCTCGCAACAGCGTCCGAAAATTTCGGAAGAATGATGAAAGAATTGCTTGACCTGTACGATCAAGACTTGTATGGGGACTACACGAAAGAGGCCCAGCTTGTGGAGGAAAACGAAACTTTAAAACGCGCTCTCCTCCTTGTCGAAAAGACAAAAAATAGATTAAGTAAGTCGAGCAAATGTTTGGAAACACGATCCGTCGCTAGTCGTTCATCTCGCCTTTCATCCGCCTCAAAATCTAGCAGCACGATGGCTAGGCTACAGGCGCTGGCCAACGCTAAAGCAGCCAGAGAAGAAGCCCAGTACGCTCGACTCATAGCGCAAAAGGAACTCGAGCGAAGGACGCGCGACGCTGAAGCGGAACGAACTCGTCAACAGGAAATCGCACAGTTTGAGTCCGAGATGGCGATCTTAAGTGCAGATAAAAAGGCCGCGATAGCAAACGCTAAGCTCGAGGTTTTCGAAGACGCCCGCCGATTGGAGGAAAATTTGGAAAGACAGTCACAATTACGGGACTTCGAAGTCCCCGAAATTAAAATGGAGCATCGCACATCACAATGGGTGTACTCTTCTCCCACACTTAGCCCCCCACGCGCGGAAAATGCAACGCGTTATGAGCGTGAACACGATCCGCGAGACACAACGGAGCGAACAAAACCACTATCACCGGCCGCCCCGAAATTCGAGTCTTTAAAAAAAATGTCTCAGCAGCCAAAATCTCCCGACCCAAACCCAGATCCACCAGGCCAGAATTCTACTAACGAAGATCGCAGAACGCATCAAAACACGGCCTTCAATCGCCGACCGCTGATGACTTCGACACCTTTCCGAGACGTCACCGGAAGCCAGCTAATCGACTCTCTCACCGCAGTGAATCAACAGATAGTCGCAGGCCTGGCTAGGCAAAACCTCCCAAAGTGCCAACCCGATGCGTTCTCTGGAGATCCTTCCCTCTTTCACCCTTGGAAGAGTGCCTTCAAAGCCATGCTGATAGACGCCGATGTGTCCCCGATCCAGGAGATAAATTATTTGAGGAGTTTCTCCAGCGGACCCCCACAGCGCCTGGTCGACAATTACAGAAAGCGGCAAATGCGCGATCCCGTCGCGTTGCTAAGAGATTTATGGGCGGAACTCGAGAAACGCTTTGGCAGCGCCGCAGTGATCGCCAACGCACTTCTGGAACGCCTGCGAAGTACAGCGACATTCAGCGAACACGAGCACGT